CTATCACTACAGCTACTGCTCTCTGCATTCTAAGCCATTCAACTGCTCTGAAGATGGAGGCGATACGATCCTCCGAAACGTCGGCCAAAACGAAGAATACACGGCGCCTAAACCCAGAAGACGACTTTCTTCATAGTCATCGCCGTGAAAACCTCAAAACTTACATATTCTTAAACTGTTTACAAGTAAACATAGAAAAGAATTTTCTGGCTGCTCCTGGCGATGTTCATAGCGTAGAAACCTGAACACGAAACTTTACTGCCATTCTTTCGCTGTCTTCATATAAAGAAGGACTGAAATGTTTGACGGACACATACTTTCGTATATGAGCTCACCTCTTACACTTTATGTATAAAAAGTAAGTAAAGCTATCCCTGTAACAGGCCGTGAAGGTCCATAGAGTTGTGAGACGTTGAGGGTCCCACATTATCTAGACAATCCGCTCAAAATGGCGGTAAGGTTGTCAGTCTTACGCGCCGGCCGCGCTTTACACCCCAGGAAAATTCTCTAATTAATTCCTGGTTCGCATTTCTGTTAGAGGCTGAGTCGACCACAAAGTCATAGTGCGGCTGGAAGGATTAGGTCAATTGAATAAAATTAAATGACCTCATCGGGACTTGAACCCGCGACTTCCCGGATTGTAGCGTAGTGCCTCGACCAACTACGCTAACACTTTATGTATGGAAATCATGAATATTCTGTTGATCTATGAATTGCAAGAAAACGATCAAATTCATTAAATTTTATATATTCTTCCGCTAAATTTGTAATAGATTATTAAAATTTTCTATTCTGATATGATGGTTCCTCCTTGCAAAATTGTGAAAATCACGACAAGAGACAAAACAGGAAAGCCGAGGAAAAGAAATGGCAATCCAATTACCAGTCACATGAAGACGGGAATAGAGCCAACTCCTGAAATACCGTTCATTGAAATGTCCCTCAGTGTCCTGCAGCGTATTAACGGTGTGTTTCGATAAAACACTAAATCACATGATACAACTAGATTATGAAACCATTGCAGCATTCCATCATCACGACATGAAACTGCGCCTGTCCTCTGCTAGCGGTGTTCCCATTAGCTCTTCCTTTGTGAGTTACTTTCCGTGTGAGATACCTGTTTAATTCTCTTTGTTCCAGCTATAAATAATAAACCTTGATAACAAATGGCTACAGTAGCGACACTCTTGGAACACGCCCGTGCCATGTCCTACAAGCCGCTAGAGGCCATGTTAAATATTGAAAGGCCAGAATAATCTGGGATGAATGATGAGCACACCACGTGACACTCAGTGGCGGCTCGACACGCCCTCTGCACCTGCTCAGCAAGCTCTTCTTGCTTGCTTCATCTCTGCATTCATTTTGTTACAGTTAGCGACACCTGATGGATAATTGAAGGTATTCAGCATAAAGTTCAATATGCTGTTATGGCACGGCTGTTTATGTTCAATTTCAAATTCAGATGCTTGCATTTCTTACACTGTCCGGTTTCTCCGCTGTTCAATTTTGTTCTTTTGTTGCGCCTACTTGGGCTCTGTCGAAACAGACTGCGGGTATCCCACTGGGACCACAGTTGTGAGCCCAGCAGAGAAGGAGCTTGTGTAGTTAACTTATTCGCAATTAGAAAAAAATTGTCTCATTAGAGTACATAAAGCTCCCTGTTTCACGGATAATAATTATTACTATTATTACTATTATTATTATTATTATTATTATTAGTAGTAGTAGTAGTAGTAGTAGTAGTATCGATCACGGTAGCCGAGCGGTCTAAGGCATGTACTATTTTCGCTCGCTTGGTTCGAATCCCACTAGGGCATGGATGTTTAGTTTGTGTGTGTGCGTTTTTCTGTGTTTGTGTACAGGTAGAGGCCTTGCGACGAGCCGATCACCCGCCCAAGGAGTCCTACCGAATGTGTAAGATCTAGAAAAACCGAAGTGAACGGAGAAGTTCATGGAGGTAGGCCTAGGCCCACTGGGGCTGTAGTGCCAAAGGGAAAAGTAGTAGTAGTAGTGGTAATGGTGGTGGTAGCAGTAGTATTACAAATAGAAATGGTGAAGTAGTGGTAGTAGTAGCAGCAGAATTGGTGGTGGTAGTTGGAGTAGGTGTAGGAGAATAGTAATAGGAGTAGGAGTAGAAATAGGGGTAGGAGGAATAGGAGTAGGAGTAGCAGCAACAGCGGTAATAATAGTACAGTAAAAGAGTGGTGGTGATAGTGATTGTTGCAGCTGCGGTGATTATGGTTGTGATGGTGACAGATGTTCTTGTATTCTGAACTCTCACAATATATTGATAAATAAATAAAGCTAATGGCTGGCAACGTTGGTGACATTCTACGAGATACCGAAGAAGAAATATTTCAGCGTGCTTTGGAATTAGAGTAGTGCTTATCTGGAGTTATAGCGAAAGAATTGAGCAAGTCGGCAATCTCAGTGGATGGAAGGAATCATTTCACGTTGATTTAGCGCGCAAGAAATTGTCTGTGGAGTTGTCAGAAGTCATAAGAGCCTTAGAGCTGGAACACACACAGCGATATCGGTCGTACGAAAAAATGTCGTACGATTTTTTTTTGTCTTACGATCTCCTTTTCAGACTAGAGCGAACAAATACATTTCTTTGCTCTCTGACTGTCGTACGGTAGATGTCGCATGTCGCCACGTATGAAATCTACGGCTACACTTTATATCCTACTACTTGATGCGACATGAACCGTGCGGACGTCGTACGACCGATATCGCTGTGTGTGTGTTCCTATCCTTTTTTTATTTCTAGTGGGGTGAGACTAAGTCCCTTACACTGCGGTCACTTCTTGCCTATTGTACCAGCCCCAGATGATAGGTGAGGGTGATTGTGGAGCAATTGGTGGAATGAAGATTGGCAGGGGAAACCGAAGTACTCGGAGAAAATCCACTTCAGTGCCACTTTATCCACTAAAAATCCCAATTGACCAGACCCCGGGATCGAACCCGGGCCGCCGCGGTGGGAAGCCAGCGACTAACCGCTTGAGCTATGGCGCGGCCTGTTCCTAGCCTAAGTCTTAGACAGCTGAAAGCAACGTCGTTTGCTAGAAGTTTCCGGTTTTAAGAAGGAATGGATTACTAAATTTTGATATGCTCGTTACTGTTGGTGAAGATAGCCTTGTTAACTCTTGAATTTTTTAAATCGGTGAAAGTAAGCAGACAACATCTCTGCTCCATTTCTAACGTCAAAAGCGATGTCAAAACTACAAGCGTCTGCTGCCCTAGTGATGAAACACAGCATGTTCCACTCATGCTTTGTTTTAAAAAAGGTCAGCGCTAAAGAACCCACGTTTGGTGCACTCCTAATAACTTTCTTTATTTAAACTCTTACAGCAGGTGCATAAATAAAGGAAAATACTGTGACATGTCTGCTGAGAGTCGGAATTGTGAAATCAACAGACGGTCGTTGCCTGGGAAAGGCTCTTTGAACACATTCGTTGTTATGGTCTGGTTCAGTGGACGTCACGTTATTGCAACCGCGCTTGAACTTAATAATAATAAAAAACTGTTAGAGGCAGTGTTTTCTATATGGTACTCCACAATTGCCACGTAACACTATAACAAAGCGAATAAGAAGTAGTGTTTTCTGTTGGGTCCGTCCCAAGGATATATCACGAGGACCACCGGGACAAGCGATACAGTATTAAGACGGCGTAGTTAGAAGAGGATGTTGTAATGAGACGGCCGCACTTTTAAATAATCAGTTATTAAGAGACGTCACACAATTATATCAGCCCCTCTCCAACATCAGCCAATTTCCCACCGTTCAGGTAAAATTCCTGTTTTGCTTTTTACATGCCTGGAGTTTTGCAACATGAGACTGAGCACGAAAGTGCTTTCTCTGCTCTCAATAGTGATCCTTAACGAGAGGGAAGTTTCAGCCTCTAAATTGTTATGCCTGTTCTATACACTAATACAGGTAGTTGGTAGACTGCAGAAAAATAAACGCGCAAACATCCGCCACAGCTGTAGCTCCCATAAACCACTACAAACACCGAAACATTTCTCCTCTTTAGACACACCATAATTTTCATAGTAACTTCCTCCAGTTCACAACAGCATCATTCATATGTTAATATGTGACGTCACGTTAGTACGTTCTCTTCGTGGATGTCAGAGTGTGAATATCTAACCCCATCTTCCTCTATTTATCACAAAGTTTCATATGACTTGCACTGTATGAGTTCTGCAGTAAGGAGTTAAGTGCTTGACTAACGGTTAAATTTCAAGAACTGGCATAACATCAACACAAAGAAAGGTTCAGACAACAATGTCCTCGGAGGTGACGGAGGGATGTACTGTAATTGTCCCTAGTAAAATCTGCAATATTACAAGATCATATGTTGATAGTATCAGCAAATGATCAAACGATCAAACACAGACCCCTTTTTCTGCAGTCATTAATAAATTACCACTTATCCAAAAATAATGTATGAACGAAGTACAAAATTCTTCTTTATCTTGCCCAGATTTGATTCGGACAGAGAAAGAATCTGCCGATCACGGTGGCCACACGGTCTAAACATGAACTGTCTTCGCTTGCTCGAACCTTCAATCCTGAAACAGACTCAAGCCATGGATATTTGTGTGCATTTATTCTGTGTTATTCTGTGTGTAGTTAGCGGCCTTGCGACGGGCTGCTCTTCCGTCTAGGGAGTCCTACCGACTGTGTGTAGGATTAAGAAACTGAAAAAGCGGCGAAAGTCCAACAAAATGCTGTAGAGCCATTGTTAAAGATAGAATGTGAGACCCATCTTCCCTTCAGCAATTACAATCATAATTGAACTCATTTATATACAGGTTTAGGTTACCCCTCCGACACACTTCGTTTCTTCAATCAGCACATTCATTACTTCTGCTGCAATATACTAATCTAGGCTCACGACTACCACAGAAAACTACATCTAAATCAAAGTATAATCTTTCATAAAATAAATTTATATGCGAAATCACAACCTTAAGGAATACTGAAGAAGACGTACCTTAAGGAAGTGTCTTAGGACCTGTCCCATATCTATCTTCACAAGCGACCTCTCGATATCAGACAGAACAACTGTAACCTTCGCCTACGGTACGGCAAACCTAGCCACATATGAAAATACAGCGATAATCTCAATAGAACTCCACGCTACCAGCAATAAGGTCAAAGGCCGGGCGATGAAATGGAGAAGTAAAATAAATCAAAGCAAATCCACGCATGTTACATTCACCCTACCCAACCAAACCTGTCCCGACAATCCAAATGGGTAATGTTGATCTACCCCAGTAAAATGAAGTGAAATACCTGTGCACACATCTCGAAGGAAGGCTGACATGAGCAAAGCACATCAAAACCAAAAGGAAACAGCTCAACCTAAAAGCGAAACAGATGCACTGGCTACTCGGGAAGAAGTTCGACACTAACAACAGAAAGCAAATTCCTCCTATACAAAGCAGTACTCGAACCCATATGCACCTATGGAATTCAGCTACGGTGGACAGCCTCAAATTCTGACGTAGAAATACCCAACGCTCACAGTCCCCCATGAGCCCATGACGACCCTTAACAACTGACGTCATTCCCACATTTATTCATTGTTAATGCTGCAGTCTGATTATTGAATCTCACTACAACAATTCTCATCGTCTGCAACTGTGCGAATCCCACAGTAAAATGTGAAGCCCACTATTAATATTTGAGACCTTGGGACCACTAAAAAATTCGAATGGTTTTAACTATTTAAAAAAATTTGAAAACTGTGGATCTGAACCATTGAATCAATGACGTTATATTATATCAGCTTCCAGTTATATAACACTATCTCTTCATTATACTAAAATTATAATTCGGTCTACATTTCGTACCGTATTTGCGTAAAGTAAGCATTAAAACTGTCCTCTCATCCACTTCTAGGTGTTCCTTTCAGTGTCTCCTCTTGAGAAATTACAATTAATATTTCGTACATATTTTTCAGTCCCAAAATCTCGTCTATTTTAGGTTTGTTGGTTTAGTCCTCATCCTTTCATTCATTCGGAAATTGCTCTACATCCCTTTGTTGTGCCCTGGCCTCTACTTCAGTTTCGTAATCTTTTTTACACAGTCTGTAGGACTCTTTGGACGAGTGATCAGCCCGTCACAAGGTCGCTACCTAAACACAGGACAACACAAATACAGAATAAACATATAAACAGATATCAGTGCCTTGAGTTGGAACCCACGATTACAGACTTCGAAGTAGCGAAGACAGTTCATGCCTTAGACAGTGCGGCCACTGTGATCGGCCTTGGTCCGCCTAGTAGTAAGATATGAGTAAGATTCTTCATTGTTTATATAGCTCCAGTCACTTGACATTCCATCCTTCATAGCATGGCAATAGACTCTTCTAGAATATCACAAGTCTACAGCCTTCACTTAGCACAAGAGACGGGGCCATGTTCATAAACATAACCGACGAAACAATAAAATAAAATTACTTAGGGCACTGTAGGATGAAAGAGCCTGAACTTAATATTGGCAAGCACTTCCAGAATTTAATATGTTCTTAATTTCATCATTTCCGTTTGAAGTTTTCGTTTCCAAGTTTTCAGCATGACTATGCTTTTAAACAAATTATGATATACTCTTACGTTATAAACTTGTCATCTGTTCTCCGAAAGAAACTTAGTTTACGTACGTTCCATTTTCAGAGCAACAATATTACTAGCTTCTCGAAAGTTCCAGTCCTGCTCTTTAATTCACTTGTATTTCAGTGAATTTGTAGCGATACTCCACTTGTTTCTTGTGTTTCCTACCCTCTTAGAATTCTTGTAGTTTGCTAATGGCGTATTCTAAAATGAATTTGAGAAGCAATGTCAATAAGGTCTCCCTGTTTCATTCGACTCTGAATAAGAAATACATGTACAATTATGGGGCACGAGGTAGAAGAGTAGTTGGTTAATGCACTATGCTACAAGCCGGAATGTCGGGGGTTCAAGTCCCGATGAGGTAATTAGATTTTTTTTTATTTTCCTACTCCTTCCAGCCACACTCAACCTCTAACAGAAATGAGTATCAGGAATATTCTTGGGGGTAAAGGGCGGCCGGTGCGTAAGGCTGACAACTTTGTCGCCATCTATGTACCGATTGTCTAGAGAATGTGGGAACCTCAACAGCTCACAAACCTATTGGCCTTCACGGCCTGTTACAGTGATACCTTTACTTACTTACTTTTACTGGACAATTTTATCGTTGCTGGGTTTTCCGGGATGTATTCGAGCCCCCTTTAACTACATCAGCTAGTTTATTTCTCCATGTTGTTTGGTATTACAGACCAATATGGTCCAAGACTTCCTCTTTTCAGAGTTTCTGAATGTTTTTTTAAGTACATTTGTTAGAACACACTAGACAGAGAATCAACTTTTTACAAAGTATCTGTCTAGAAGGGACAATAATATCGCAGAAGAAACAAGGACATACAACCATGGCTACAGCGGGATTCGAACCAGCAATCGAGCCTTGGAAGACAGTTGACGTAATGCATCGCGTAGCTTCCGTAATCTTGAGCTAGTTTGAGGGATAAATCAAATTGTAAATTTATGACCTTTATGCTTCGCATCTGAGTAATGGTATGTTTTGGAAGCAATAAATATTGGATTCATCGAACCATTTGGTGCACAGAACATATGGATTACTACGGATTGCTGCCAATCTCCCATTCAGTTTCAGAAATAAATTTTCCGCTTTTTCGTTTCATTCTTTGCCTAATGACCATAAAATTAAGGCATATCATGGACGTCATGTCTGCTCACCTTTCCGTTCGTTTTACTTCACAAACTCATGATAGGATTCGACAAATTTTGAAGATCTATGTAAAATGCTGTAAAGCAAATTTAATTTTTATATATAAGGGGTTTTTCAATATTATTCATTATCAAAATAAAGGTCTAGACTTTTAAAAGCTTGTGGCATTTTGGAATCTATCACTGTTTCCATCTCCAACCAAGGGAAATGTCATACTTTTTTGTTCTGGTAATTACACAAAACTACAATCCATCAGCAGATCCTGAGGCAAGTCCAAAACGGTCATATTTATAAAGAATGCAGCGGATTAGGAACCCCAACACCCCTAATACCATTCACAGTTTGCATCGAAACAATCAGAAACATTATCCGATCGATTTTGATTCATATTCACTCAAGGACATTCTTGTTTTATTTCAAGTTCAAATCGAATTGTCAACAATTTTCTAGAAAAGGCTAGTCATATAAAAATTGAAATGTAATATGATATATATTATTCTGGTTATAAGAAATACAATCAGAAACATATGTTCATATCTTTCTATAAAAGTGAGTTCCTTTTAATATTATTTTTTACAATTTTAAATTGTAATTTACGACCGAAAGTAAGTCATCCAGTCTGTCTCGGCATAAAGCACCCATCTGGGGCTTGCGACCAGATTTTTATTACTGTTTAACAGTTACGGCTTTTTTTTTTTTTTTTGTGTGTGAACGCTCTCTCTGGTGAGAGGGCGGGTCTGTCTATGCTGCTGATCACAAGCCTGGGAAATCAACTCTGATCTCCTCAACCATTCCAAATTTCTAGCGGTAGGCCACATTATTTTTAAAATTAAAATCAGAGCTGGGATATGTGTACGAGTTCTACGAACTACGAAGAAGGAATTTAATTTCACATTGTCACAGCCAATATTCTCCTTCTGTTGACTGTGTGATATATTTTTCTTACAAAATTCTGTTTCAAGCGCACAGCTACACTAAGTCAACTGATGTATGAAAATGACCGTGAATGATATGTATGCAATATTTTTAAAAGATGAATTTTCGGGCTCCTGAAAGTTATCCGGATATTCATCTGGAGAGAATGAAAGCCATCATATGTATAATGTCAGTCACAGCACCAGGCAGTTGACCAAAATTCTAACCTAGAATATCCGAGTAACCTCTCTCTGCCTTAAATTGGTTTTACTTCATCTTCATGCATTTAAAGTTAAGTCAATTCTAGAAGAGATATTTTACTTGCCTGCAGAAGACGTTATGCGATATTTTTTAGAATATTAATATTCTCAGTTTAACAGGTAACGCTGACAGAATAAGCAAGTAACCTACCTCGTTTAGAAAATTAAATTATTAAAGTCCAAAAAACCATTTGAACTTTCTTCATAAAACCGCAATTCCTCAACTCAGTGATATTCGGCCTTCATATTATCTGCAGGCGGATTATGCTTACACAAAGGGAGAAATGATTTCTTTCCTAAAGACAGAGGAATCGAGATAAATCCCAGGAAGACCGTTACAAAGATATAAATAAGAGTGACGTCGTCACTGTAAATAAAGCCGGGAGTGGGGGGTAAAGGGGATTTGACCATGGGGACTAGGATCAGAAAGACTGTGCTGTTGTCTCAGGACATTGATTTCATTTCCTTTATTTCGTATATATCTCCCGTAATCATTTCGTTCAGTTCGTCTGTTTTCCTTTTTTATTCTCTTCTGATTGCAGCTTCAGGATTCGAGTAATTTTTCTTTATTCCTGTTGGATTGGGTTGCTATTGGACCATTATATATAGTTTCTGTCACTGCAGGGTTATGATGTAGCTATGAACAGTACAACACTTTCTATACTTACGCAGGAACACTTATAAGCCGTTGCATTTAACATCCAGTAATTAAAGTAAAAAACGGAATAATAACTGAATTTTTGTTATTAGAGTAATTCTGGGTAGCATGAAAAATTAAAAGAGTGTAGGCACAGTGCCTTGCAAAATATTGCAACGGATTTGGTTAACGAGTTGCCAGGCAATAACTCTGTAAACACGAATACAGACGACAATAGAAGGGAAACTGTGTTTTCTATGCGATCCGCGCCAGTCGGGCGCACGAAGCTGTACGAAGTCATCAAGGTAATAGTAAATCCAATCATCCGAACTAGAACTCGTCATTTTCGTCGGGCATACCACCCTAGACGTGACAGTATTCTCAAAAGAGTTACTTGGGTAACCCCCAAAATATGTCACTAGTGATAAGTATGAAATTTGAGCCA